ACCACCCCTTAACCATATATGTTCTTGTATGGGACACTGACACAAATCAAATGAAATATAGGGGAGGTCCATGGGGGTCACCCCCACCCCCCATCTTTTTGAAAACTTGTAAACCGTCAAGATCCCCACCCTGAAACCATATATTCTTGTATGGGACAATAAAGCTAATCAAATGAAATAAAAGGCAAGTCCCCTGGGGTCACAACCACTCCCTCCTGTTTGAGAACTTGTAAACGGTCGAAATCCCCACCCCTAAACCATATATATTCTTGTATAGGACAATAACACAAATCAAATGAAATATAGGGGAAGTCCATGGGGGTCACCCCCAACCCTTATTTTTGAAAACTTGTAAACGGTCAAGATCCCCACCCCGAAACCATATATATTCTTGTATGGGACAATAAAACAAATCAAATGAAATAAAAGGTGAGTCCCTGGGGTCACCCCCATCCCCTCCTGTTTGAGAACTTGTAAACAGTCGAGATCCCCACCCTTAAACCATATATATTCTTGTATGGTACAAAATACAAATCAAATGAAATATAGTGGAAGTCCATGGGGATAACCCCCACCCCCCTTCTTTTTGATAATTTGTAAACGGTCGAGATCCCCACCCCTAAACCATATATATTCTTGAATGGGACAATATAACAAATCAAATGAAATTGAGGGGAAGTCCCCTGGGGTAACCGCCTACCCCCCTTTTTTTTAAACTTGTAAACGGTCAAGATCCCCACCCTGAAACCATATATATTCTTGTATGGGACAAAAAAACAAATCAAATGAAATATAGTGGAAGTCCATGGGGGTAACCCCCACCCCCCTTCTTTTTGATAATTTGCAAACGGTCAAGATTCCCACCCCGAAACCATATATATTCTTGTATGGGACAATAAAACAAATCAAATGAAATAAAAGGTGAGTCCCTGGGGTCACCCCCACCCCCTCCTGTTTGAGAACTTGTAAACAGTCGAGATCCCCACCCCTAAACCATATATATTCTTGTATGGGACAAAATACAAATCAAATGAAATATAGTGGAAGTCCATGGGGATAACCCCCACCCCCCTTCTTTTTGATAATTTGTAAACGGTCGAGATCCCCACCCCTAAACCATATATATTTTTGAATGGGACAATATAACAAATCAAATGAAATTAAGGGGAAGTCCCCTGGGGTAACCGCCTACCCCCTTTTTTTTTAAACTTGTAAACGGTCAAGATCCCCACCCTGAAACCATATATATTCTTGTATGGGACAATAAAACAAATCAAATGAAATATAACGTGAGTCCCCTGGGGTCAGCCATACCCCCTCCTGTTTAAGAACTTGTAAACTGTTGAGATCCCCACCCCTAAACCATATATGTTCTTGTATGGGACACTGACACAAATCAAATGAAATATAGGGAAAGTCCATGGGGGTCACCCCCCCCCCCCATCTTTTTGAAAACTTGTAAACCGTCAAGATCCCCACCCTGAAACCATATATTCTTGTATGGGACAATAAAGCTAATCGAATGAAATAAAAGGCGAGTCCCCTGGGGTCACAACCACCCCCTCCTGTTTGAGAACTTGTAAACGGTCGAAATCCCCACCCCTAAACCATATATATGCTTGTATAGGACAATAACACAAATCAAATGAAATATAGGGGAAGTCCATGGGGGTCACCCCCACCCCCTTCTTTTTGAAAACTTGTAAACGGTCAAGATCCCCACCCCGAAACCATATATATTCTTGTATGGGACAATAAAACAAATCAAATGAAATAAAAGGTGAGTCCCTGGGGTCACCCCCACCCCCTCCTGTTTGAGAACTTGTAAACAGTCGAGATCCCCACCCCTAAACCATATTTATTCTTGTATGGGACAAAATACAAATCAAATGAAATAAAGTGGAAGTCCATGGGGATAACCCCCACCCCCCCTTCTTTTTGATAATTTGTAAACGGTCGAGATCCCCACCCCTAAACCATATATATTCTTGAATGGGACAATATAACAAATCGAATGAAATTGAGGGGTAGTCCCCTGGGGTAACCGCTTACCCCCTTTTTTTTTAAAACTTGTAAACGGTCAAGATCCCCACCCTGAAACCATATATATTCTTGTATGGGACAATAAAACAAATCAAATGAAATATAAGGTGAGTCCCCTGGGGTCAGCCCCACCCCCCTCCTGTTTAAGAACTTGTAAACGGTCGAGATCCCCACCCCTAAACCATATATGTTCTTGTATGGGACACTAAAACAAAGCAAATGAAATATAGGGGAAGTCCATGGGGGTCACCCCAACCCCTTCTTCTTTTTGAAAACTTGTAACGGTCAAGATCCTCACCCCGAAACCATATATATTCTTGTATGGGACAATAAAAGAAATCAAATGAAATAAAAGGCGAGTCCCCTCGCGTCACCCCAACCCCCTCCTGTTTGAGAACTTGTAAACAGTCGAGATCCCCACCCCTAAACCATATATATTCTTGTATGGGACAATAAAACCAATCAAATGAAATATAGGGGAAGTCCATGGGGGTAACCACCACCCCTTCTTTTTGATTACTTGTAAACAGTTGAGATCCCCACCCCTAAACCAGATATATTCTTGAATGGGACAATAAAACAAATCAAATGAAATTGAATGGAAGTCCCCATGGGTAACCCCCACTCCCTTTCTTTTTGAAAACTTGTAAACGGTCAAGATCCCCACCCCGAAACCATATATATTCTTGTATGGGACAATAGAACAAATCAAATGAAATATAAGGCGAGTCCCCTGGGGTTCCCTCTCCCCCCCCCCCTTTTGAGAACTTGTAAACGGTCGAGATCTCCACCCCTTAACCATATCTTGGATTTGAATGACATACAGGGTCAATCCATAGGCGTCACTTATGCATATCACAAACCAATTTGTACTGGACTTTGCCCCATGTCAGGCGACCATGGGAATGACGAATTATTGGACCTTTTTTGGGAAACTTCGTAACAGCATCCTGTTACAATTATTTCTTGTTACAGATAAATTTTAAAGATTTTGAAAAGACATTGTATTAATGATAAATAAAATTTTGGATTTTTTTCTTCTTTTCTTTGGTAAATTGTTTGAAGAATTTTGTGGCAAGTTTGTTTGTTATTCTGTAAAAACTAATTTTCTGAATGCTATATTTTTTTTTGATGAAGTGAACTCCTTTAAAAACTAAGCTTATATTGTGTACGTATTAATAAACATATATTTAGATTTCTAATTTTGGGCCCAGTTTTCAAGTTGGTCTAAATCGGGGTCCAAAATTAAACTGTGTTTGATTTCAACATAAATTGAATATATATAGGGTTCTTTGAAATGCTTAATCTAAACCTGTATTTCTTTTTTAATTATTAATAAGATAATACCACATTGAGGTCCAAAGGGTCCTAAATTAAACTTTTGTTTAATTTAATCAAAAATTGAATTATTTGGTTCTTTGATATGCTGATTCTAGCAACGTTTGAGTGTTAAATCATATATAATTTTAGAGAACTTAGTCATCACTGGTTGTTGTTATTATATTATTGATTATAATTTGAAAAATTGCATCATATCTTATTTTAGAGAACTATTTATCCAGTTTGAGTTATTTCCCTTTGCACAGAAAATATTATGGATAAAATTAACCTGTGTTTCATTTCAACATAAATTAAATATATATAGGGTTCTTTCAAATGCTGAATCTAAACCTGTATTTAAATATTAGATTTTTGGGCCCAGTTTTCAAGTTGGTCCAAAATATCAGGGTCCAAAATTGAAGTTTGTTTGATTCAACAAAAATTGAATTTATGGGGTTCTTTGAAATGCTGAATCTAACCATGCATTGAGATATTTTGGATTGTGGGCTCCTTTATCAAATTGGTCCACATTGAGGTCCAAAGGGTCCTAAATTAAACTTTTGTCTGATTTCATCAAAATTTGAATTCTTGGGATTCTTTGATATGCTGATTCTAATATGTACTTAGATTTTGGATATTGGACCATAATAGGTATTTAAATGTCCAATTTCAAATATTTCAGTTCTTTGACCACATTCATTTTGTGTCACAAACCTATGCTGTGTCAAATATTCAATCACAATCCAAATTCAGAGCTGTTTTAAGCACAAATGTAGTGTCCATACTTGCTCAACTGTTCAGGGTTCGACCTCTTCAGGAAAATCCGGTTTGCTGTCACTCTGACAGCCTCTTGTTATTTAGTTGCCAGCTGAGGACCACCTCCGGGTTCAGAATTTTCTCGCTGCGTTGAAGACCCATTGGTGGCCTTCGGCTGTTATCTGCTCTTTGGTTGGGTTGTTGTCTCTTTGATATATTCCCCATTTCCATTCTCAATTTTATTGTTTGTTATTCTGTATAAACTAATTTTTTTTTAATGCTATATATATATTTTTTGATGGAGCAAACTCCTTTAAAAACTAAGCTTATATTGTCTATTAATAAACATATATTTAGATTTCTGATTTTGGGCCCGGTTTTCAAGTTGGTCCAAATTGGGGTCCAAAATAAAACTGTGTTTGATTTCAACGTAAATTGAATATATATATAGTTCTTTGAAATTCTGAATCTAAACCTGTATTTATTTTCATTATTAATTAGATAATACTACATTGAGGTCCAAAGGGTCCTAAATTAAACTTTTGTTTGATTTCATCAAAAATTGAATTCTTGGGGTTCTTTGATAAGCTGAATATAACGATGTACTTAGATTTTGGATATTAGACCATAATAGGTAAATGTCCAATTTCAAATTTTTCAGTTCTTTGACCACATTCATTTTGTGTCACAAACCTATGCTGTGTCAAATAATCAATCACAATCCAAATTCAGAGCTGTTTTAAGCTTAAATGTTGTGTCCATACTTGCTCAACTGCTCTGGGTTCGACCTCTTCAGGAAAATCTGGTTTGCTGTCACTCTGACAACCTCTTGTTATATTCTGGTGTATAAAATATATTTTAAAATTTTGTGCAATTTTTAGGACCAGGACCCTCGGTTGCAGCTGTCATAGGAGGTATAGCTGGAGGTTTGCTAGCAATCATCATTGTACTGCTGGTAATATGTTTTGTTCAAAAGAAAAGAAAAGGTAAAATACTGTATTATAAAGCATGCCGACTTTTTATAACTTTATTGCATTTTATTACTTAAAGAGCGAGCTTGACATATTTTTAAATAGTAATTGGTAAAACACATTGCAATGGTAAAATTATGGATCTGAATTCAATTAATTATGTTTATTATTGTCTTTTTTCTCATCCCTACAGGTTGCACTTTGTAAATACAGCTGTTTCACAAGCCACGCCTCTTTTGGGGAGATATATAATATTCATAGATATGTTATTTTGTGAACGTACTGGTTCCCAGATATGATCTCTGTGTTTCATCTCATAGAGACATAACTTGGGAATGTTACCAGTATAGAAAAACATGGTAGCGCCTAAAATTTAATTCTTAAGAGGTCCAAAAATGGAGGTAGGGGTAGTATAGAATTTTAGTATAAGTTTAAACTCTTAGTAGTTCACGGCATATAAAATATATATAAAATATGAAAATATGCTGCACAGCCCTATATTTTGACCTTTGAATAAAATAGTAGTGCATATCAACTTTCTGTTCTGGGATATAATTTTTCACGAACATTCACAGTAAAAGTGGCACAGTTTTAGCCGCAAAGGGAGTTCCTATGGGAAATTGCATTGTCTATATTTACAGAATTGCAACCTACAAGTCGCAGCGGTTTGCTGTGTTCTGCCTCAGCTTTAGTGACATCAACATTTTTTTCAAGTGGTTAGGACACTTGAAGAGGAACCACTCATGTTGAGACAATGATATTTGGGGTGCTGTTGGATTAGAATTAGCTATTACATTTCTATGGATATTATATAGCTCCATCCCCTCATTCATATATAGTTTGTAGAATGAACACATCTCAATATAGGCACTATACTATCAAAATTACACACTGCTGTGTCAACATAAATAAGAAGATGTGGTATGAGTGCCAATGAGACAACTCTCCATCCAAGTCACAATGTGTAAAAAGTAAACAATTATAGGTCAAAGTACGGCCTTCAACACAGAGCCTTGGCTCACACAGAACAGCAAGCTATAAAGGGCCCCAAAATGACTATATAGCTAGTGTAAAACAATTCAAGCAGGAAAATCAATTTATTTTTAGAATTGAATAATCCTAAAATATCGTTTCAAGGAAAGATTAAAACTAGATATCTCTTGTCTGAATGATGGTTTTACAAAAACTCCCCATACATATTTTCCTGCAACAGATTTAAAATATCTTACAGAAGATGAATATTTTAAAGTCAAGTTTATGTGAAATGAAAAAGACTTTTGATAATTATTTTTGTACATATTAGTTATTTAACGACATAATATTTTAAATCATTTACTATTTTATTTATGCATGATTTCACCATTTGGTTGAGTCCACTTTATTTCCTTAATGTATAAATGCTTTGTTTTTATATTTAGTTGACCAACTTTTATGTTTGCCTTGCAGAAAGTGGTACCCCTAGCCCAAAATTGAGGTACATGTTTTATGTTTATTTTATGTCTACTTATTTATGCACTTCAAAATTGAACTACCAGTAAATGTACACTTATTTGATAGTGTATTGAGGTTTGAAATCAATGCATTTGAAGAGGACCAACAAAGCACTATTTTTTTACATGCTTATCAAGATATAAAGACACGATTTGAATATACAACAACATTATGAGAATCTGTCCACATTTTTTGTTTTGGTTTTAGGTGCACTTAAAATGTCTCTTGAGACCCTCTTCCCCAATGGTAAAAAATTTATAAAAGCATTTACACTACTTTAGCTATTTATAATGCTATAGTAAGTATCTAGAATGAAAAACATATGTTTGAAAAGATTTTATAACACTTTTTCTCAGCCATGGCATTTGACCCCTACCATAGAAAATTGAACCACCTATCCTGATAGGTCAAAATTTAAATTTATGAAAGCATTTAACTAGTTACAATTCTGTAATTAGTTATTAAAAAGAAAAACATATGTTTGAAAAGATTGTATAACACTTTTTCTTAGCCAGGTTATATTCACCCCTACTATGGAAAATTGAATGCCCCATCAGATGTCAGAATTTCTATTTATGCTATCATTTTAACTACTAAACCATTATTTTGGGTTCCAATTAGTATCTTGAATAAATAAACCAGGAGTATGTTTAATTTTCCATACAGGAGGGTTAAATTTTCACGGGGTTTTAAATATTATATGACTCTTTAATATATTTTAGATTTACCATTCAAATGACCTATTTTAAATTTACCATTTAAATGACCTATCAACTAATCCTCTTCAGCTTTCGATATCAACCTCTAAACACATATTAAAACTATATCAGTGTATTGCTTCACTTTTCAGCTCACCTGGCCTAAAATTCAATATTCTTTTGCCTTCACTTGGCGTCCTTCGTCCTTCATTGTCCAACGTCATAAACGTAAAAAATACTTCTAAATAGAAAATTTGTTGGATCATTTTCTGGGCTAATTTTGATTAACAATAAAACTGAGGGTATATGGATATGAAAACCGAAAAATAGTAAGATAAGGTAGCAGGGATTAATTGGACAAATAAACCAGTTAAAGCATTAGGAATATATTTTGGTCATAACAGAGAATAATGTGAAAAATTAAACTGGGAGAATAAAATTGAGAAAATGAAAAAAATTATTTCATTTGTGCAGGCAACGTTATTGAATTTCAATTGGGAAAATACTTATTATAAAAACTTTAGTTTTAAATGTTATAAGTACATCTGGGATGGTTAACCAGATAAGGTTAAAAGGTATAACTCCACTAACATGACTAATTCGGGCCCGGTCAGAAAGCACATACCAGAAAGTAGTACTTATTTAACGCAAAATAGTTCCTGTACACATGGGTGTGGCTTTCAAAATATGTAGAAAATTTTGGTAATTTTGATATCAAATGAAACTGAATGACTGGTGATCATTGTAGAACACTTTTTGACTCATAATTTTGAATAATAAAAAAATTGCTTGAAATTTAAAAAAGCAGGGTACATTTTGCCTGTTTGTCAGATCTGAAGTATGTGTTTTGGTACATCAGAAGTTTGGGGAACCAGTTCTCTCTTATATGCAATTAAAGGTATGTTGATTTTTTCAGCACTAGACACCATAAGGTGTTGCTTTGACATGCAAGGATTGTCACTTTATTTGAACTTAAGACAAAAGAGCTGTGCCTGCTTGAAATTGAGGAATTTAACATAGAAAGCAATGGGACTATGAATTAGTGGTGTACTTCCAAAAGAAATACTATAATTTAGTCATATGAAGAGGGAAGATTACTAACGATTGATATACAAAGTTATATATATAAATATATAATTCAACATTAGTAATATGGGTATGCAGTGGAATTTTACAGGATACATCAAGAGGAGCTTGGACTCTCAATGTAACAATGTAACAAGCATATTTGATGAATAAATATATAAGTTTTAAAAACATTCTCTGAAAATACTTAGCTAAATATTACCAAACTTTACCTAAATGTTCCTAAGGGTATCTTGTTCTAAAAGTGTATCCAGGGATTTGATACATTGACAAACATTGCCACTGTTGCTAAAAATTGAACAAAGGGGTAAAATGTAGTTTTTATACGCCTGTTTACGAGACGTATTATTTTATACCTATGTCCGTCCGTTCATCCGTTTGACGTCCATCGTCAATTTGTCGGACAGTAACTCAAAAACGCTTTCATTAATTTTCATGAAACTTTGGTGAATTGTTTATATCTATTGACTTGAGCTCCCTTTCAATTTTTATAAATTTTAGATTTTACGTCTTGGAGTATTGGGACTTAATTCATAAAAAAGGGGGGATTTTCTAGTATTTCTGGCAATAACTCAGAAACACTTTTAGCAGTTATCATGAAACTTTGATGACCTCTATATATCTATTGAAATAAGTTCCGTTTTGTTTTTTTATATAAATTTCTGATATGACATTGCAGAGTTATGGAACTTTATTAGTTGAAAAATTGTCGAAAATTGTCCAGTTTGCGACGGGCGTATCATGCCCTCATGGCGCAGCTCTTTATTGGCTTATATCTCAAAAACTAAATCAGTGAGAGCAAATCTGATTGTGTTAAAAATGATCAGCAGGTGATGGTCTATCACCTACAAAATTTAAGAAAAATTGGACAATCTATTTTGAAGTTGTTGTCAATTTTAAGAAAATACTATTTTTTTTGGCTTATATCTCAAAAACTTTTATTTGGCATCAGCATATTACTTCTTTATTGTTGGCATTAATAAAAAATATTCTATGATACAGACAATTGTATTTACCCTGTTAAAAATGAATTTCCTCTATTGAAAGGATTTTTCATTATGTAGGTTACATATTTTTATTTTATAAAATTGTCATAGTTTACACTTATCAATTGATGATAAGGGGAATAGCAAGTTTTTTATCTTCTGAGATGCAAATCATTGCTCGGGATGATGGGGAGGCAATAGTCTTGTTGGACTATTTTATTGATATGCCTTAGTAATAGTTTAGTAGAGTTGATACATGTATAAAAGCATATAATGTATGAGTAGGCAATTTTTATCCTTGTGTAATTATATGCGAATATGCGATTAACTTTATTAATAACCAGGGATTCTTGTGTATGTATGTAATTGCTGGTAAGGTCAATTAAAATTAATTGCTAGATTTTCATCCTGCCCTCCCCAAATATTTGTATGCCGCGCCGTAGCGGAGGGGGCATTACGTTTACCCTTGTCCGTCTGTACTTCCCTCTGTACGTCCGTACGTCCCAAAATTGGTTTCTGTTCTCTAACTTTAGTTTGCCTCAACTAAATGTTATGAATCTTATACACAATGCTTATTACCACAAAACACAGATCAAGTTTGAATTTGGGTGGCGTCACTTTTACCATTCTAGAGTTATGCCCCTTTACAAATTGAAAAAAATGCTGAATTTTTCGTTTCCGTTCTCTAACTTAAGTTTGCCTCAACCAAATGTTATGAAACTTATACACAATGTTTATTACCACAAAACACAGATCTATCACTATCACTTAAATATGCTTTGAATAATTTTCATGAAACTTTGTTGATAGGTATATATATATTGACATAAGTTCCCTTTTGATTTTAAAAAATTCTGATTTTACATTTTGGAGTATTGGGACTTTATTCATAAAAACGGTGGTGATTTTCCAGTTTTCCAACAAAAAAATCATAAACGCTTTGAGCAGTTTTCATGAAACTTTGGTGATTTCTTTATATCTCTTAAGATAAGCTATCTTTTTATGCCCCCACCGTAGAGGTGGGGGTATTAACTTTTTCCCTTGTCCGTCTGTACGTACGTCCGTACGTCCCAAAATTGGTTTCCGTTCTCTAACTTGAGTTTGCCTTAATCAAATGTTATGAAACTTATACACAATGCTTATTACCACAAAACACAGATCAAGTTTGAATTTGGGTGGCGTCACTTTTACCATTCTAGAGTTATGCCCCTTTACAAATTGAAAAAAATGCTGAATTTTTCGTTTCCGTTCTCTAACTTAAGTTTGCCTCAACCAAATGTTATGAAACTTATACACAATGTTTATTACCACAAAACACAGATCTATCACTATCACTTAAATATGCTTTGAATAATTTTCATGAAACTTTGTTGATAGGTATATATATATTGACATAAGTTCCCTTTTGATTTTAAAAAATTCTGATTTTACATTTTGGAGTATTGGGACTTTATTCATAAAAACGGTGGTGATTTTCCAGTTTTCCAACAAAAAAATCATAAACGCTTTGAGCAGTTTTCATGAAACTTTGGTGATTTCTTTATATCTCTTAAGATAAGCTATCTTTTTATGCCCCCACCGTAGAGGTGGGGGTATTAACTTTTTCCCTTGTCCGTCTGTACGTACGTCCGTACGTCCCAAAATTGGTTTCCGTTCTCTAACTTGAGTTTGCCTTAATCAAATGTTATGAAACTTATACACAGTGCTTTTTACTACAAAACACAGATCAAGTGTGAATTGTGGTGGCGTCACTTTAACCGTTCTAGAGTTATGCCCCTTTATAAATGGAAAAAATGAAAAAATTTTAGTTTCCGTTCTCTTACTTAAGTTTGCCTCAACCAAATGTTATGAAACTTATACACAATGCTTATTTCCACAAAACACAGATCAAGTTTGAATTTTGGTGGTGTCACTTTAACTGTTCTAGAGTTATGCCCCTTTATAAATGGAAAAATTGCAAAATTTTTATTTTCTTCTAAATATCAAGTAATTTTTGAAATTGGAGTTATCTTCCTTTGTCCATGATTATAGTTGAAACAACTACAATCAATGCTTTATACAATGCAATGTTTAATTTTGACTTCCACTGATAAAACACAGATCAAGTTGAATTTGGGTAGTGTCACTTTAACCATTATTGAGTTATGCCCCTTTATATATCGAAAGATTGCAAAATTTTTAGTTTCCATTATGTAACTTAAGTTTGCCCCAAC